AATGTTAGCAATGAACCCGTCCGTGGAGGATCAGGGATCGGAAAGTTGGAATAACTTACTTTGTTTTTCCACTTTTACCCGATGAATTACAACATCCAGCTGCCATGCACGTGGGCATTGTCAGTTTCACTATAGCTCTGGTGAATTTCAATGGTGAAGTCCTCTGGAAATCTTCAATAATTGTTGTTGATTGCAGATGTGTCTAGTAGTTCCCATTGATTTTGCTTGTAAAGCGGGGAGAATGGCGCTAGGCTTACCGCACCGTGACGTCACTGCTGGAAGATGTACTGATTAACGCTTAATTCATTAAATCACTGTGGATGTATTAGTTTTATGTATAAATAATAATCCATTGATTATTCCTTGCTGACTGGACTTTTCCTTTGAATTTAAATGTTAATTATACATTAAGTCATGGGTTAAAGTCGTTTTAAATTCTTGCCTGTATTATCTAAAAAGATTGATTGTCTAATTTTTTTCTTAAACTTAAAGTATCCAACTATTTTTTATAATTTTGATCAATATAACATTTTTTTTTTTGGATTATGAATGATATATAGATATTAAAATCAATACCCAGGGCTGAATAATATGTGATGATTGTTTCAAAATGAAAATACACAAGCCTTCTTTTTCTATATTTCCATTAGCTTAAAATCTATTTGTTAAATATCTAACAATAGCTGCCCTTTCAGTACTTTATTAGATGAAAAGGCCTTTATTGGCATTATAGCGTGTAAACTTTCCTAGGATGATATTTTTTTAGCAATATTTAGGTTGATGCAATTACTGAACTCTTTTTTCAAAGAAAGAAAGATAAATGATTGGCAGGTATTTTAACTCTTGATTAACAAAAACTAGACTTATGGTTGTAACAATTTCAAACACGACATCCATCTAAATTTCATCAATAACCTCATACTGACCTTATATTACAAATTATAACCTACAAAATAGGGAGAATATTTTTATAAAAGTACAAGAAAACATTTGCATCCTTATTCAATGGACAGAAATAGAGCAAGAAGATGCAAGAAGATGAGAATTTCCAAAAAAAGAAAGTTAAAACCAATCCAGTGGACTGTGTTTCCAAGTTTGAAGACGTTTCTCTTCCATCCGGGAAGCTTTTTCATTTGAAAATGTCAGAAATATCGTAGAGTTCCAGGTTTTAGCCCATCATAACCTCAAACTTAACACTACTGCTAACCATTTGAATTGAAAAAGCTTCTTGAATGGTAAGAAAAATGTCTTCAAACTTGAAAAAGTCAGTGGGATTGTTTTTTAACTCTCCCT